TGAAAATGGTCCAAGGGTGGCCGCTTCGTTCCTGGCACTTAAGCGTGAGTGGTGCTTGTCTGCAGAAACGGAACAGGTACTCAGGACCGGGCAGGCCAGGTGCTAGAGATGGTCTCACTCACTCCAAGGGCAGCCTGTGGTGTTTCTGCACATCTACTGGTCTTGGGCAGTTGGTGGAAATGCCAGGCAGGCCTGTGCTGGACGTTTTCCCTGCTTTGTGCCTCTGATTTTAGCAAATAACTTTGTGGGTTTGCTGATGAGCAGGAAAGTTCCCTGGCCAGGCCTATGGCAGCTGGTCACATCTTACTGACTCTATAGTTAGACCTTGTCATCATCTGTGTTTTATAGAGAAAGTAATAGCTTATGAGCCCGAGTAATTCATATGTTTGCCTTTTCTCCCATTTTTATCGATGACAGACAGGCCTTAGTGCATGGTGCATCATTAACCCCTTTCCTGCCGTGGTGGCAAGGCACTCCTACCTTGCCTCTGTCACATTGGACCACGTTTTGTCCCGCTCCTCTTGTTCAACCAATAAAGCAGAGCTGGTTCAGCAAGGCCAGCATGGGCACTGCTGCTAGAGTTGAGCCCCATGAAACTGCTTCGAGCATTCCTGGAGTATTAGAAATAAACTGGTGAGCTTGATATTGGAATGACCAGTGCAAGCACGTGGTGCAGTCGCAAGCAGGGCCAGGTAGATAGGCAGGGCTCAGCGTACCACGCAGGTGTGGAAAATGCACAAGCTGCAACTGGGCTTGCATGGTCTCAGATTCCTACTTGCTGCAAGGATGGGTCAGAGCACTCAGGGTGATCCACAGAGCCCAGCTCTGATGGAGCTCCAGGCCTCTGCATGCCGTCAGCTCCATGGAAACAGCATGGGGAGCAGCAGTCCTGCTCCCTGCAGCCTACTGATGCTCTTCCGACCTCATCCTGCGTGGTAGTGGTGGGAATGGTTAGGTGAAGGAGGAGGACGAGTTCCAGGTTTTATACCAAGCAGGACCAGGCTGAGGTGTGAATTCCTACAGTCTTGTCAGCGGCTTTCCCTTGGGCCTCCCTGCCCAGAGAGGACAAACGTGCCCAGCAGCGTGGGTGCCCGGCCTTACGGGGACCTGGCAGGGAGGTGGTGCTGTGGCAGAGCAGCCAGCACAGCTGAAGCTGACTGCATAAGGAGCTGTTTGTTTTGCTGAATTGTTAAGCCCCATTGACAATAGCAGCACCCCCCCTCCTCTCACACTCGAGGAACTGTGGTGGCCACACACTGATCCTTTCTCTTGTCTTCAGGCACCGAATTTGAGTTATTCTTCCCCAAGCCCCTCTGACTGCCTGTTGCCTTTTGTTCCCGCTCTCTGCAGGCGTACGAGTGGGCCTTGGAAGGGATGCGACACCTCGCCTGCATCAGCATGGAGGACTGCAGCTCCGCCGAGCACTGCGCAGGTGTGATCAAGTGCCTGGAGAGCTACAAGGGGCAGCACCCAGACATCAGCGATGCCCGATTCCAGGAGATGAAGGAGCTGGCCTGTGAGCTGAAAAGTGACAAGGGACTCAAGCAGTGGAAGTTTGCATGGTCCAAATGCCAGGAGACCAAGCTGGTTTTTGAAAAGAAACTCGAAGCAGCCTTGAGAACAAGGAGGTCTCTGCTGTCAGAGCGCAAACCAGCTGCGGGGGAGCAGCCGCGGGCTGGCAGCGAGGCTGGCGCTCCACCCCACCGGAGGCACTCCGAGGGGGCCACCTCCGGGTCCCCCTGGGACAGGACTTACAGCGCGTCCCACTGCTACAACAGGCCCAGCTGCTCTCCGGGGTGGACTAAGGAGAAAGCTCCCTCGCCCTCCCTGGGCTGCCCCGGCGATGTGAGTGCTGGGGAAGAATTTGCCTGCCAAGCTGCTCTCAGCCCCGGGCCTCACTCGAGCAGAGTTTCGTTTGCCAGCGGGGCCTCCAAGTCTCCAAAGCTGCCTGAAGAAAAGCCAAACCTGGAGAGCATATTAGAAACCTTGGAGGTGAAGCCGTCCTGCACCTCCAGCCCAGCCTCTGGGAAGCTGCCTCCCAGGAGGATGCTCCGCAAGGCCCAAAGCTTTGACCTCCCCTGCGGTGAGAGCCTGTGGTCAGGCTGCCAGAGGACGCTGAGCGAGCCGGCCAGATACGGCAACACCGGTGTCTTCATCAAGGGGCTGGAGGTGAGCAGCACCGAGCTGGTGGACAGGACTTTCGCGCTGCGGCAGCCAGCTGTGCACCGCTGGGGTGGGGACTGCCTGCTGGAGGGACAGAGGGGCTGCCTGTCCGCGTCAGAAGCCAGGAGCTGGGGCAGGTAAGTGACTGGGACACTCGGTGCTCTGGTCCTCAGGGTAGTGAGAAGGCAGCCAGCAGAGATGCGAAGAGCTCTCCAGTGCCAGTCCCTTTGGTGATGGTACAGAGCGGAGAGGTGGAGATGTAGCTCCAGCTTTCCTACACGTGTGTGTGGTGCTGGGTGGGCCCACTGGCATGGCCCTACACAGCCTGGCACCTGCCTTTGTGGGGAGGCAGGGAAATGGGATCTCTTGCTCTTCCCCCTATGACATGGTTCCTTCGTATGAGGGGAGAGAGCAGCTCCTAGGCAGGAGAGGGAGTCTCTGAACGTTGCTTGTGTAAGGGGAATGAGGGTTTGCAGAAACAGCATTTGGGGACCTAGCAAGCCGTAGTGGGAGAGCAAAAGCACAGTGCATCATCCTCCCTACTTTTGGGAGGGTTGTACCCAGTGTGGGACACTTCTCGTGCCCTGTGACAGCTGCTTCATGGGCAAGAGGGTGTTTGTACTTGCCGTTTGGGGCTGAGATCTCTATTTGTGTGGCCAACTTTGTTCTTTTCCTTCTCTGTCCTTGAGGATCTCAGCTTAACTTTGGTGTAGTGCTGCAACATGCCTAGGACATGTGAGCCCAGGGATGCGAGATGGTCTTGAAAGGGCAGGTCTTTCAGCTGCTCTCGTTGGAAAAAATGAAAAATTAAAAAAAATTAGTGGCAGAGATGAGAAACGAGTGCTGGATGCAGGGGAACCGTAGAGCTCCTTCGCTGCTTCTACTTTGGATGGGATGGCTGGGGACAGTGAAAACCTCTGGAAGGGGCCTCTGATATCCCAGCATGTGTCAGGAAAGCTCGTGGTAGGTGATGAACACCAGCAGATCAGAGGTGTTAGGCGCAGGGTTAGACTGGCTGTGTTTGGTGCTGCACTGCCTCGCAGTGGAAACCTCGAAAACCGAGACGTGTCTCAGAGACGTGCGGAGCAGCCCGTGCTGGGAGCTGCTGTTCGCTGATGCGCTGATACGAGGTTTGTTTCCCACTCTCATGTTTACTGGAACAAGCCCAACAGCACCTGGGTCTAGGGCTTGTGTTCTCCCAGGGTTGAAATTGCCTCCCACAGCATCCAGTCGTCAGGCTGGCTCCTCCTCACAGAAGTTACCGTGATTTCTGCTGTCCATGTTGTTTCGGGAGTGCAGCCGTTTGCGGAGCAGCCTGTTGTGTCCAGAGCAGGGGCTGGGTGGGCCCGGGGGTGCGTGTCCTGCTGAGGTTGTGTCAGGAGCACAGCCAGCCTGGGGCTTGCCCTTCCCAAACAGAAAAGCCAACAGAATTCCTTAGATCAGCCACGAGCTTTGTCAGTGCTCAGGGTCGGAGCTGACACAGGCAGTTCTGAATCTGATCTTGGATGGTGCTGAGGGATCATCTCATCTCCGTGATGGTTCTCAGGGAGAGCTTCTCTAGGGATAGTCCAGTGTTTTGCAGGCACTCTTGGACTGCTGGAGCCCCGCTGTGGTCCAGGTCCCTTCAAGGCTGAGTGTTTCCTCTTGCAGCAAGCTGCGGCACATCATCGACGAGATGGTCACCACGGAGCGGGAATACGTGAGGTCGCTTTGCTACATCATCGATAGCTACTTCCCTGAGATGGAGCGCCTCGACCTCCCCCAGGACCTGCGTGGGAAGCGCAGCGTCATTTTTGGGAACCTGGAGAAACTCTACGACTTCCACAGTCAGTACTTCCTGCGAGAGCTCGAGAGCTGCTGCAACCACCCGCTGCGGGTCAGCCACTGCTTCCTCCGACACGTAAGGCATCAGCACCTTCCTCCTGTGGTCGGGCTCCTCCGGGCACGCGTCTGGCTCCCGTGCCAGGCGGTGCCTGCAGGTTTGACTGCTCACCTGCTTGTTAGTGGGCTGAGGCTCTTTGGCAGCAGGAGGACTACCCTGTGCTGGATTGGTTTGTCCCCTGCCAGCTCAAATTCTAGGTTGGACTGGGATGGCTCTGCGAGGCTGAGCCCAGGCAGCAGCAGATGCTCTTTGCCTTTCCTGTTGTTCTTTGCTACCAAAAGACACTGCCATGAAGCTAAATATCTGCTCCTTAAAGCCCACCTACTTCTGCAGGGACATCCTTTACCCTGTCTTTCTGTGGTGTCAGTGTGGAAGGACTTTCTCGAGCAGAGAGGTACAGACCTGCTGCTCTTGTTGAAAAGGGCTGCTAGGGAGAAGCATGGGGCACTGGTCTTAAGCTCAGCTGCCCCATGCATGTTTGCTGCTACCAGGTGAATGGTACCTGTTGGGGTATGTAAGGGGCAAGGGTTAACAGGACAATGGATTAAAAAGTCCTAGCTACTGTAGGAGTAGGAAGACAGGAACATTCCCTGGCTCTTCATGAACTTGAAGCAAAGTCGTTCCTGATACCATAGGAGGCTTTGGTGCAGCCTGGGAGAGGCAGAAGTACTAGAGGAACCGAGCCAGGGGCACGGCTGTCACTGTGTCCTGGCTGTGCCTTGGTCTCACGCGGGGATCTCTCTTGCAGAAAGACCAGTTTGGGATGTACGCGTTGTACAGCAAGAACAAGCCGAAGTCGGACTCGCTGCTGGCCAGCCATGGCAACACCTTCTTCAAGGTAAATTCCAGTGCCTGCATCACACTTGCTCTTGGTATTTGGGTCACTGATCTGTTTAAACAAGCCCAACTTTCCTGCTTGAGGCATGCTTTCCTGCCACAAGTGTATGTTGGGGTGACAGGGGCAGAGATGTGATGAGAGCTTTGGAGAGGAGCTCAGCACCCAGCAGCATTGGTCCTATGGCCTCGCATTTCCCTGCATAGCAAATGGGTACCCCAGTCAGGAAAGCTGTTGGTGTCAGTGCCTGCCTGGGGACAGGGGGTGCTCCACTGGAAGCTGCTGCCTTCATTCTCTGCCGCGTTTCTCAGTTCAAGCAGGTGCAGCTTGGGGATAAGATGGACCTGGCCTCCTACCTGCTGAAACCCATCCAACGGATGAGCAAATACGCCCTGCTCCTGAAGGACCTGATCAAGGAGTGCAGCGAGGCGCAAGAGCAGGAGCTGGGCTACCTCCGTGCAGCTGAGGAGATGGTGAAGTTTCAGCTCCGGCACGGAAATGACCTGCTGGCCATGGATGCCATCCGTGACTGTGACGTACGTTCCAGTGTCCTCCCCTGCTTGGGGAGGCAGAGCCACACTTGCCCTTCTCTAGGATTTTGGGGCTTTTGGATCATATGGCGAGCCTCCCCTCAAATTCCCACAGTGATCAGGGTGCTGTCTGCTAGCGCAGTGTAGCGGGACAGCTGAGGCACAGAGCAAGGTCTCCTTGATCTGCTGGATCAAGGATGGATGCTGTTCCTGGAGCTGAATGAGCTGCTTGTCGTAAACAGGCTCCCAGGTGGCATGAGGCAGCCTGGCAGCCCTTGCAGATGGTGTCCTGCAGACTGTCTTGGGCCCTTCTGTCTCTTGAGCTGGTGATAAGAGGGTCAGGCAGTTTGCAAGGAATTCAAAATGATGCTGAGGCCAGAGGTAGGCTAAAATCACCTAGGTGGTACTTGGAGGAGAAGCTGCATAGTGCAGCACTGTAGGAGGAGAAACCACAGGGCTCAGGGTGGAGGAAGATGGATCTGGGAGAGGAAGAACTGAGGGGACTTCCCTTCTGACCCGGATATGCTCCTGGCAGTTTGATGGGACTCCTTTCCTCTTCAGTTCTCTTCTTTTTCCCAAGAGACAAAGCAGCTCTGGCTGCTGCCTCTGATGGCCACCCGAGAGGTTTGTCACAGGGTGACAGGAGAGGGTCATCTGTGTACCGTGCCTAGCAGAGAGGTGCAGCTCTTACCTTAGCTCTGAGCCAGTTGTTTCGGCCTGATGTGGCCCCTGGCACTGCCACGCAGCCCTACCTCTTCAAAAACCCTCCTAAGATGACAGGTAGCTGCTGTTTCTTCGCTGCCTGGGCCACAGCCATATGGGACCCTTCTCTCCCAAGTCCAGGCCTGGGGCTGCCCGGACCTCATCCTGCCGGGGTCTTACCAGGATGTTCCCTGTGTCCAGGTGAACCTGAAGGAGCAGGGGCAGCTGGTGCGGCAGGACGAGTTCACCATCTGGCTGGGCCGTAGGAAGTGCCAGCGACACGTCTTCCTCTTCGAGGACCTGATCCTCTTCAGCAAGCCCAAGAGGATCGAAGGTGGCTTTGATGTGTATATCTACAAGCGCTCCTTCAAGGTAAGGGCAGCCCTGCAGCTCCCTCTTGTTCGGGATGTGTCCATGGCTGGTTTCTCCATGGAAAGATGGCTCTGAAATGGGGAGCAGGAGCACCTTCAGCAGAACAGCTGCTCCCACCACTGCCAAGCCTTCTCCAAGCCCTGCAGTGAAGCCAGAAGGAAACACTTCACACATTAATGCCTAGGCCTGCTCCGTGCTGTGAGATGTGGGGCCAAGGTCTTCTGGGGGATGCAGAGTGTGAGGGAAAGGCAGTGTGTGTGGCAGGGAGGTGGTGCTGAATCTGGATGAAGCGCTGGGAATTGCCTGGGCTGTCTCTGCCCATCTGTGTCCAGACCTTACCTTCTCCTGTCCAAACCCTCAGGCTTCTTCCTGTTGGGTCTACTGAGCTGGGGGAAGCTCTGGCACAGTGTGCAGGCAGAATTTACCCTTTCTGCTCCTGGTGGAGCCCCAGTTGATGCTTTGCTTTTCCTTTTCTGGCAGACTGCAGACATTGGTCTGACAGAAAACTCTGGAGACAGTGGCTTGCGCTTTGAGATCTGGTTCCGAAGGCGGAAGTCCAGCGACACCTACATCCTCCAGGCCAGCTCAGCCGAGACTAAGCAGGCCTGGACCAGTGACATTGCCAAGATCCTGTGGCAGCAGGCAGCCCGCAATAAAGGTGTGATTCCTTCCCGGGGCGTCTGTGCCGCAAAAGGTGCGGGAGCCCTGTTCGGCTCGTGCTGTCCTGAGTAGGTTTGGAGCCTGTTACCGGGCAGCTCTGTGCAGTGAGCAGCTGTGTGCCAGCATGCAGCCTCAGGAGCATGTGCTGGGCTTGGCTGGGCATGTCCCTTCCCTGTCCCTCATCCCAAGGGACCTTGACCAGTCCAACCTCTGTGACTGTAGACACCCACCTGGACTCCAGGAGAGAAACGGGAGATACTAGCACAGGGTTCCCTGCTCTGTGAGTGTGAGCTGTGCCTCTGAAAGGCTCACCGCTCTCCCCGTGGTCTAGGCTGCCCCTGGAGGGGCAGCTGTCTGGCTGAGTCTCTCCTCTCCACCCCAGGCTTCCCGCTTGGCAGGACTCTCGTAGGCAGCATGGCACTGAGCTGCTTGGCCAGAGCAGGGCATGATTGCTTTGTCTGCAAAGACTCTTCAGGACTGGGGAGCAAGGGGAGAGCGGATCTAATCGCAGTAGTTCGGGAGCAGCCTGGCGCAGGATTGCTCTGGCCTGGGGCTGCGTAGTGCCTGTGGGGAGGGTTGGAGCCAACCTCACAATGTGGCTGTGGGTCTCTTCCCCTCTAGAAATCCGTATGCAGGAGATGGTCTCCATGGGTGTGGGCAACAAACCGTTCCTGGATATCAAACCCAGCGAGGCAGCTATCAATGACCGTGCTATTGATTACATCATGAAAGGCAGAGGTGAGTGCCAGCCGTGCCTGCCCCCTTGCTGTGGGTGAGCTAGGCAGGACTGGTGCTCAGGGCTCTTTTTTGGTGTGTTTTCTGGCAGGTGCCAGGACCAGAGCATCAATCGCAGTGTCTCTGTTTGACCATTCCAACCCGTACAAGAGGACGCAGGCGCAGCTCTCCGCTGGCAGCACCCCCGCTGCATACAGCCCTTCCTCCTCCTCCCTGCTGGGGCCCCTCAACCTCCACATGTACCTGGACCAGGCTCTGCTGCCCGGCGTCCTGGCCCCCGGCCGCCCCTTTGACATTGGCACCTGCATTGAGGAAGATGAGCTGGAGCACGAGACGAGCAGCCAGCCGTCACTGAGTACGTACGATCCCGCTGCTCCACAGTGCGCCCTGGGATGTGCGGGCTCATCCCCACGCCACGTTCTGCACTCAGACCAGGCTCGCTGGGGTCACAGCAGTCCCTGTCTCGTACCCAGATGGGGCAAGGAGGGCCCTGCCCTTTCCATGCCAGCTTTGTCTTGGTGCTCATGGGGGGAGTTAGCTCAGACGCAGGGATTAGTGAAGTGCCCACTGATCTGCAGCTGGCCCCGTGGCAGGCTTGGTGCCACATCCTGTGGCCTTGCAGACCAGTGCTCGTGTCTCTGCCCCTCTGGTATGTGGCACTCTGTCCCTCGCTCTCGCCAGCCTGGTCCAGTGACCCCTTGGCTTCCCCTGCGTGAACTTCCCTGGCCAGTCTGTACCAATCTCCGGCAGTTTGCTACGCTTCCGTGGGTTATTTTGTTGCCTCTGGCTTTAAAGAGGCCTGGACAGGAGGAGTGTGGCTTATCTGTGGGCTTGTGTGGCCAGTGCCTCTGCAAACAGAAACCTTGTGTGTACATGGCAGAGGTCATGCAGGCCAAATCCGTGGTCATCAGAGTGACCTTCCTCTCTTCCCCCAGCAACAGAGAGCTCAGAGTCGTCGCACTGCATGTCAGGCAGCGGCTCCAGTGGCTCCGACAGCGGCTGTGTCTCCAGCATCCCACAAGAAAGCTTCTGTGAAGACGTGGGCTCACCCCCCTACATGCCCCTGGGCTCCCAACACAGCTCTGCCATGGAGAAGCCCAGGTTCACCAACAGCCAGTACATTTCCGCAGTAAGTGCGAGCAGCCAAAATACTTTCTTCTCTCTGCCTGTTTTGGCAACTGCCTCCCCAGTTCAAGCCGCTGCCTCTCATGGGGGCACAGAAGATGTCACTGTGGGGAAGTGACCTTTCCTCCTGCAGCCACTCATCTCCTCTGGGGCAGGAGAAAGCCCCTCTGTTGTCAGAGCCTCCTCTGTGGTGGCCAGGATCCCTGAGGAGATGCACTGGGAAGGACCTGCAGTGCTGGAGGCTGTACCAGGAGGGGATGCTGCACACACAGGGGCTTTAATGCTGTCGTGGGCCGGGGGTACATCCGTAACCTCCTGGGATGGATGGAGCTCTGCTGCAGATGCTGCTGAGCTCTTTTCCTGGGAGGTTTGAGCCTTTTGGGGAGCGATGAGATGGTGGAGCGGGAGCCTGTCACTATGAGATGTCAGTGTGTCTCGTTTTCCTGAGAGTTCTCAACTGCTTCCCTTCCCACTAGATCGTGTCCTGATGCTGTTGTCCTCTAACCCTGTACTAATGCTGGCTTCTCTCCTCTGCAGAAAGCAGGCCAGGTCACCATAAGTCCCTCGACAATAGTGTGAGCCCCTCTGCACACGTATACCGCCTAAGGAAGTGGAGTTGCTGTAAGTAGCCCCTGAAGGGGATTTTTCAGCAGCTCTGAGTGCTGGTCAGGTTTGTCACTAGCTCTGAGTCAGGAGAACCTCACCCTCTGCTTCTCCATGAGAAGTTTTCCACTCACATTCCTGACCGGTCTCTGAGGTTCCGACTCATCTGGTTGGAGAAGACCGGCTCCCACAGAGCCATCGCCTTAAACGGCCGCTCTGATGCCTCCCTGGTTTGAAGGAGCACAAGTAAACCCAGCAAAATCGCTTTCTGGTCGTAGAGGCTTGAGCACCATCTAGTCATCGGCGTTCAGATGAGCTTCTTTCCTCTGAAGGCTGCCCAGCTCTCTAACCACTAATCTGTTTCTTGTGGCCGTTTGCCGGAATCCTGCTCTTTGTTAGTCCCTCTTTAACTGCCTTGGGGAATCCACGGTATTTCTCCCCAGGCTGGATTTATCCCTTTTGGAGGCTCAAAGGAAGCTGCACATCACCAGGCAGAGGAACCTGCTAGGTTATATGCTCGGGATGTTCCGAGGGAGCTGCCAGGTGTTGCTCCTGTACTTACTGGTTTCTGGAGGATGCCTCCTCTGCGAGGAAATCGCTGTTGATCTGAGCAAGACCTGCAGCCAAGCAGGGCTTCCTCCGTGTGGGTGGTGGCCCTTGGAAAGCCGTCATGCCCTGCTCGAACTAGCCTGCCTCTGGCACAGCTTTTTCCTCTCTGACCTTAGGGCTGAGCCTCCTTTTTCACAGGGAGCAGAGGGGTATGAATAGAGAGAGGCAGGATTAGGGCTGGGATGGTCAAGGCACCAGGTGGCAGGTGGCTCGTAGGTTTGGCACCGCGGGGGTGTCGGAAGCACGCAGGCCCACGGCTTGTGACCTGCAGGTACTGGAGCTCATAACCAGCTGAACAGAACTGGCCAAGGTGAACGTTTCAGATCCAGAGCCCCTTCTGGGGGAGTCACAGACAAAACCTCCCAAGTGGCCACAGAAGCTGCTGCTGGGCCAGCAGCAGGGAGCCTCTGGCTGAGCCCCGAGGTGCAGAGGCAGCCCTGCACGCGGGGGAAGAGCCACCCTTCTCCTGCCAGGCTCTTCCCCTAAAACCTTGTGTCCCCACGGAAACGCAGCTCTGACAAACGGCGCTTTGGGAGCGTTTTGCAAAAGGGCCCCGTGGGATCCTGGGAGTGCAGCCATCTAACCCATCGCACGGTGCTGTGTTCCAGGTTTGATTGCCATTTCAAACTCACGGAAGACCCCAGGCCTCTGACCAGCAGAAGGAGACAGTCTTCACCCATGAAGATATACATCTCTCTCTCTTTTTTTTTTTTTTTTTTAATACATAATCAGGCTCTCAGACAGCCCCAAACCTGACCTCTGCCTGGCAGGGGAAGTCCCAAGAAGGTTTCTGTCAACTACACATAATAGCTTTTGGTGTTGGATGGGACCTTGGGCATTCCAAACTGGTTAGCCCTATATTTATAAGTAATAAGTAACATAGCAGTTTGAAAAAAAAAATAAATAATAAAAAAAATGTATTATTTTTAAAGCTATGAGCTGTACAGATTTTTGTTACGAGTGACTCTGTTACTATTTGTTCTGTAAGCTGCACATTTTATAAAAAGGTTTTGGAAGGGCTTGAAGAGAAACCGAGGTATTTAAGAAAAGTAGTGTAACTTTCTGTTTCAGGGTTACATTGACCTGGAGCTCAAGATTTAACGTCCTTCCTTATGTTCTAAATATGTCTATCATAGCAATAATTTATTTTCTTGGCTTAACACTTCTGTTTTAATAAAAGCAATTCCGTTGTTCCAGTGAATTGTTTCTTCAGATGGTTCTTGCCGTGCCTCAGTGCTGAGCTTCTCTCTGCCTTAACCATCTGTCAGCTCCTCCGCTCTGCCCGGGTGATTTCTGCACTAACCAGCTGCCACCTAAACCATGTAAATCCTGAGCGTGTTCCCCACTGGAGGGGGAAGATTCCCGGGTGGAGACGTCCCTGATGCCGGTGGGAAGGCTGAGGCAGAGCAGGGAGGTCAGAGCCGCTGGGAGAGAGGACGAGGGAGCTGTCTGGGCAAGGTCAGGAGGCGCAAATCGCCCAAGTCCCTGGCTCAGATTGAAGCTGCACCCCCGTAGCTGCTGTCGCAGCGACGAGGCTCGTGCTCTCCTTGGGCCAGGTTCCCATCACACAGGGTGCAAATGCCAAAGTTCAGACTCCAGCCCGCCTTGTCCCAGCGGCCAGGCTGTGACCCAGCTGTCGGGGCGATGGGGACCACCTTGCTTTGCCTCTGACTCAGCCCCTCTCCGGGCACTGCAGTGCCACTGTCGTGGCGTGTTTGAGGAGCTTGGCATGGTGGTGGCACCTGAGACCAACAGGTTTTGAGTGCAATGGGTTGATTGTAATGCTGAACCTTAAGCACACGTTGTCTGCAGTAGCACAGCGTGACCGGGGGACAGACGTGCCCGGCGTTCCGAGGTTGCCTGGTTCATGAATTAAACCTCGGAGCTGCCTCGGTTACCCTCGACGTACAGACCACGTTCCTTCGAGTTTGGGAATTCCTGTACTGTACATAAAACACTTGTTTGTTTTTAATAAGCTGGATGTTTCTCGAACCTCGTTCTTTTTTTTCAGACAGCAGAGAGAACACAGTTTGACACCTTTGTACAAAATTGTGTGGGCCCAGGGAAGACTTTCGAAGTTACTATTTTAAAATAGTTGCTAAGTTAATGCAAGATTTTTGGGCTGTGGTGACAGCGAGGGCTCGTGTCACAAGAGGGAGGGAATTTGCTAATGCAACAAGAGGAACATGGCACTTCCTAAATTTCTCAGTTTCAAAGGTTTCTGTATTGCTGGAAAAACCTTCAGTAATGTTTACCTGACACTGTTTTTTCAGGGCTTGATTGATTTGTCTAATAAAGGTTATTTTCTCTATATGAATCTTGTTAGTGTTGTATCCTGATTTCCTGGGCCGCAGGAGGGGGAACAGGCACGCATGGACAAGAGGGATTGTCCCTGGGGCATCTAAATACTCTCTCAAAGTACTGGTGGGAGACTGAAATGATGGTTTTTTAATCAGTTTGTTCACCAGGATGAAAGGGAGGGCGATGGGGAGTGTCAGCTCCCCTCCCCGGAGGTTTGAAAACAGGAACAGCAAAGTGCCGCGTCTGCACGACGTGCTGAAAATAAAACATGAAGCGAGCGCTCCAGACCCCTGATTGTTATTCCAATGTTATTGGGCAAATAATATTAACAAAGAGGGGACTTTTTTTTCATCCGTTTTGGAGAAATAAGGCCTCAGGGAGGGGACAAGCTTTTGCCCCACTGCTGGTTTTCTGATTCAGGGTGCCAGGGAGCCTCCAAGCGTGACCGCTGATCTGCGGCCCCAGTTAGGAGCGATGAGAACCCCGGGTCAGGGGTGGAAAACCAGGCAGGGAGAGAGGGACAGGGGCTGGACAGGTGCCTGGGGGCCAGAGCTGCAGCCTTGCCTTGTTAAACATCCTCTTCTGTTAAATAAACCCCACTTGTCACTAATGAAGCCTCAAGATGTCTCCTCCCTCGTTACCCAAAGCAGAAGGCTGCTACAAAGAGCCTCGACTGAATCACGTCCTGTTCAACAACAACTGAGCAAAAAGGCTTTTTTCTCACACAGGCACAAGAAAATAAAAACGTTTCAAAAAGTAGCTGGGTCTAATTTTTATTAATGTTCTGTGAACTTAAAATTCCAAGGTAAAGTATGAGACTGACCTAGCAAACCCCCTCCGGACTGGTACGTCGAGGCAGCGGCTGAACTTCCACGGAAAGAGCAGAGTAAATGGAAAAAGCACAAAACTGAGGCCGCTGTTACATCCCCCACCAGAACAGCAGCATCACCAGCTCTTCCCATTTCTTACCAACTCTCAAAGTCTTCTACTGCTTTTTGTGAGCGACCGTCTACGTTAGCAGCAAAATACTAAACAAAATGTTAAGCCTCAACAGGACACGAGTTAATTTGTGCTGTAAAATGCCCCGTCCCCGCTTAACTCACTCTGCAAACAAACCTGGGGAGAAATGAACCAGTTTAAACCTTAGGAGCCTGTGGTATTTGGAAGAACAAAGGCTCAGCCGTCCAGCAGCATGTAGCAAACCCTAATTACTTCCACCCACTGAAGTAGCTGTGGGTGAACGTTTCTGCCCCCTTTAAATATTCCATGGTCAGTAAATCAGCAGCAAACTGCCTGGCTGGGGTCTGCTGAGTCTAAAATACAGACCACAGTGTGGGCACATCAGGAGGCCCAAGAGCCCAGGGAGCCATACTCCCCCCCCTTAGCAAAATTACCAGTTGGATGGAGAAGTTCCCACTCTGGTCTTGGCCAGGATTAATTATTAGTAAGATTAAAAAGGATGGGTAGGAGGTAGCTGCCATCTCTGGAGGG